TTAGCGCATGTATTTGGCTACTTTTAAAACTGAAGCTTGAGAACTTTAAAAAGTATCCCCAATAAAAATCTTTGGATACATGACTTGAAAATATCTCCTGTCAAGCTGTAGCTTTTTTTTTTCATCCTTCATAGGGTTTTTCACAACTGTCTGCCTTTTTCTGTCTCCATTTTCCATATTAAATGTAAGAATTTTTTGGCTGTCTTTCAGACTTGATACCTTTCCCTTTGTTCTTACAAGGTTTATGATTTTACAGTGTAGATCCATGATACATTTTAAATTAATTAAATGAAAAGTAACCCCTTCCCTTCTTCTGTTGTAGCTTTGAGGAGTTATGCTCCAGTGGGATTTATTGAAGTTTCCTCTGAATTTCTTTAGTCAAATTTCTTTGCCAAGTCAACTGTACGTGTTCCTATGAAACTATTTCCAGTTTCTCTACCCATTCCATATATTTATATGTTCATCCACCTACCCATCGTATATACTGATGATTTACAAACTCTGTTGATAAGCTATATTGGGTTATTGTAAAGAGGACTAAGTTAGAGTAAATGGCATTGTTTTAAAAATCAAATTCCTGTTATTCATTGCTGGTAAGTAGGAAATAAATGATTTTTTGTTAACTCTATAATTACTTTAATTTCCATTGTGTGCTGAATGTATGTATCTCTCCAGGACTCACATGTTGGTACCTAAGACTCGATGTAATATATTAAGAGGCTAGCTGTCATGGGTGACATTCGTACTCCCCAAATAGTCTGGCCCTTTTGTTCTTCCATATTGTGCCATGCAAGGATGGAACCCAAGGCACCATCTTAGAAGGACTGAGGATTCACCAGAGACAAAAATCTGTCCTTAGACCTTGGGCTTCCTAGCCTTCACAGCTGTAAGTAACGTGATTTCTACTGTTTGAACATAAGGCACACCAGAATCCACAAGGCTGCTCACAGTTGTAACTCCAACCCCAGGCATCTGATAACTCCCTACTGGCTTCATGGCTCCAGGCATGCACATGGTGCATAGACATACATACAGGCAAAACACCTATACTCATAAAAACAAAGAAAAGTTTAAAAGTACACCAGACTAATGCACTTTGTTATACCTGTAAGAATGAACTAAATCATTTATTCATTAGTCCAAGGGATTTTTTTGGTGACTGTTGTTCATTATTTAGAACTTGTCAAAAAGCTATGTAAACAACCATGTATTCCACAAAGATCCTTTCTCTTTCTTTTAAATCCATGTGTTATTTGTTTCTTTTTCTTGTATTACACCAGCTGGGTAATACTAAATTGGAGTGGTGGCAGTAAGCATTGAAAGACTTAAACTAGCAAAGAAATGAAATGAAGCCCAAATAATTGGAATGCTGGGTGGAATTTGCTAACCACTGGCCCTGAGATAGCAGGATACCAAGAATTCACACTGCCCCTCCTTTCCGTGAGTCAGCAGGTGGTAAATAGGGTCCTTAAGAAACAAAGAGATAGCTGCAACTCCCAGACAAGATTAATTAGCACACCCCCAGGCCCTAAGGTCTACTGACCCTAACAGCAGACTATCCGGCCTCAAAGGCTCAGTACTCAATGGACAGAAGTTCACACCCCCTCCCTAAGCTTGTGGGTTTTGCCTTTAAAAATGCCTGTGCCTGGGGAATGATGCTTCTCCCGCCTGTGTGCTGAGGGAGCCCGTTTGCGCAAATGTTTCCTGTTCATTAAAGTCTCTTGCGTGTTGCAGCAACTGGGCTGAACATTGAGTTCTTGGGGACACTGACTGAAACTGGGAGACTCCTCATTCTGAGGGTCTTACAGCATCACTGCCTTGTGTTTGGTCTCAACAGGAACACATTAGGTTTCCTACCATTAATTATCACAATAGAGGTAGAGTTTTTTAAGTTCTTTATCAACCTGAGAAATTAACCTCTATTTCTACTTGCTGAGTGTGCTTGTGAACTAGTGTTTAATTTTGCCAAATGTTTTCCTATATCCAGTGACATGATCACACATTCTTATTTCAGCTGCATCTCTCTGCTGCTACCCACTCCATTCACCTCACCCTTATGTAGCACTTCTCCCGAGACTGGCATCGTCCATGGTGTCACGACCAAAGTCTCCCTTTCTTGACTGTCTGAGACCCTGTTAGTCATGTTTTTCCGAGGCTGAAGTGGATGCAACTCTCAGTGAGCTATCAAATATGATCAAAAGAGTAATGGGAAAGGCTCAAATACATCACTTGAATGATAATCACATTTCTTCTCTCTCACTGACCCAAAATAGGTGTCATGGGTCCTTCTTCCTGGTGGGGTGTGGAAGATCTGATAGTCTCCCTCTACTGCCTCTGGATAAATATCCCTGTGTGCCTCTGGTATTCACATCTCCCGATTATCTGTGGGTTTGAAACTCTTTCCATCTGAAATGCATGTGTGCCAAGGCCTCTACTGTGTTCTCTTAGTGTAGTTGGAATGATAAAGAGAAAATCACCTTCAGCAAGGCAGCTAACTCCCATGATTTTTTGTTTTTTTGTAAAATCAATAACATTAAGACCATGCAGACTAAAATCTTAAACTATTTAAATTTAAATGTCAGGGACTTCTACATACTTCCTTTGTTACTGGATGTCTACTGAGTCATTCCCCAAAGGATAGTGAAGAAAGCCTGCAGTCTCCAGCTGTCAGTTTTGCCTATGGCTTCCTGTTTGGAAGGAATGTATTTCCTGGCAGTGTCCAACAGGGGGAGATGTTTGCTAGGAAATGGCCTCTGAGCAGGTTTGCAGGCTTGAGTCTCAGCACAGCTGGGCTTATCCACCCTCCTTTACAGATTCAGATTTTATTAGCCCACCCAAAGTGCCAGAGGATAATCCACATGTCCAAATGGAGCAGAGGTCAAACAAGGGGCTCCCTTCCACACTGAGTACTGAAGCGTTGAATCCACCCAAATGGTCCTGTTTTTTAGATTCCCTTTCTTTTCCTTCCCCATCGAAAATCTCACCTAAGCTCCACCAGTTGAATCTATTGCTTCCCTCCCACTAATAGAATCACAGAGAAAGTCAGAGGTGTAGTTCATACACTCCTCGGCAACCCAGGGAAATCAGAGTTGCTGGTAAGGGATAGCTACAGGGAGGGAGGGACTACAGAGGGGAGACAGAAAGAGGAAACTTGATTTTCAGCACATTTCCACACCAGCATCTGTTTCTCTTCAGGTAACTATTAATGCTACAGAAGACGTTGCTTCCCAGGTGTCCTCATGTCATGCCCACTGTTTCTATCAGGCTGAGCCGACTTTGACCACATCAATACTTTTTTCTCCTCTTTGGGAAGGGAAGGATATTGTGGCTTCATTAGATGAATCAAACCAATGATGCTGAGCCCCTCTCTGCATTCCTCCCAACATAAGCATACAATCATGTGGCCTCCAGAACCCCTTTGCAGTAGAAAGCTCTCAGAACTATGTCTTACTTCCCTGTCCCCCAAAAGCAGCAGAAAATGAGGTGGAGGAAGAATAGGTTCCAGGTTAGAAAAAGAAATCACCTAGATTTTTTTTCTTCAGTTTATATAACTGTCTTGCTTTAAATAGAATGGATTTCTGATGTTTGGGTTCACCCAAAGCTATGTAGCACGTGAGTTTCTTTTTACTCCTGACACTATTTATTTCCACACTAGTAGTTCATGTACTCGGTAGCCATAACTGTGTCCCTTTACTGTGGAGTCGTGGGGCTTGCTCTCCCAGTCACAGCCCATCCTTCCCTGCTCCTCTGCAGAGAAAAACTTGAGGAACAGTGAAGAAGCATGTGGATCACTAGTTTTACCCCTCCCTCCCATAGTCAGACTTACTAACACAGGACTTTGAGCCCCTTCCCTCCCACACTGCATTTGTTTCTTGGCAGACTTTGCACCCAGATCCCAGGGAATTTTCAGGTTCTGGAGTGCTCAATGCTGAGTATGTAATGGAAAGGACAGTGGCTTATACATTACAAGTTCGTGAGCTGGGGAGTTGGTTCCAGGGTTGAGTCTTTCTTCCAAAGGACTTGGGGTTTGATTCCCAGCAAACCCCATGACAGCTCACAGCCCTCCAACTATAATTCCAATTCCAGAGGATCTGATGAGCTCTTGTCTGGCATGGAGACAAATCACCCATACACATAAAACAAATCTAAAAGAAATTTCATAGATGGAAAGCTGAGAAGTTAGAGCGCAGCCTTGTTTCATCTCAGATGGGAATGAGTGTAGCAGACAACTCACTCAACCCTATGTGCAAATAAGGACTCAATCTGAGATGTTCCCCCAATTAATTTGAGGGAACAAATATGGAATCTTGTAGGAAGCATGGCTTAGAGTAAACATTGAAGAAACCAGGGTTGTCAATCATGTGGGCCTATTTTTAACAAAATGATTGATGCCTGGTTACCTGGAATGCTGGAGCAAAAGCGGTCAGAGAACCTGGTGATCCTTTACAACGCCATTAGAAGCCTCCACCTGAAACTTCTTTAGGGCCTAATGGTGGGCTTTGTCTCTCAGTGAATAGAACACATCGTTATGAAAGAGGCACCACATACTTTGCATCCTCCACCAGTAGAATCCTTTCTTGAGCTTATAAAATATTCTTCTTTTCTAGGCCTTAGTTTGAGCACTGTTTCCCAGTCAATGGAACCCATTCTTATGATAAAGGTCTCAGATACTATAAAATAAACTATGAGCAGGGTGTTTTGCAAGGGAATTTTTATATAACCATCTGTGAAGCTTTGTTATGAGAACTGCCACATGGAAACTTTACCCCCAAAATTCTTCTGTGTCTAAATGTGTAAGAAAATCAAATCATGGGGTCAGATTCTCTGGAAGTTTTGATCCCATCTGATTGACCAAGTCCAGCTGCACCCAGTTTTTATTCTAATATCTTTGAGGGTCATTTCCTTGTCCCAGTGGGAATACTTGTAGTGACCCCACGCCCCACACCACAATGGAATTTATGGCTGGTAAGAGTTAAGACATGTGTAGCTAAAGACAAACAGCTGTGGAAACCATATTTATTACTTTATAACATTGAGAATGTGTATTTGGAACAAACCAATGAGTATACCATACAAATAACCTTCTCTCCTGTTGCATCTAAATTTGCTTAACTCACTATAGATACAACACTTTTTAAGTTTTGGTCCCTCTGTGTAGCCTTTGGGAAAGATACACAGAGCAGAGGAAACAAAATCACACAATAGCACTAGGGGATATCTTGAAAATAAGGGGACTTGTAAAAGATCAATTCAATTGCTGGTGAATCCAATCTCCTAGCAATCTTCCCACACCATCTCACCCACTCCTTCCCCTTCCCTCAGATAATCTAAGACCTCTGGCTGCCTTCAGTACATACATTCTCCTTGATCTTGACAGTTGTGAGATTGCTTCCTGACTACTACTTTTCTTTTCAAGGGAATAAGGCTTGAGTGTCACACTGCTGAGTAACATTCTAGGCTACACAGTATCCTCCTGGCCCATTCCATGGTAAATGCCATGAAGTAGAAACCATCTCTTCCAGTGTTGCTCTCTATAACTCACGTCCAGGAGTGCTCAGGTACCCACATTGTATGGCAGACACCAGTTCCATCACCTGCTCAATGACTTCCACACCATTCCTTACAGGTTCATTCCAGATTCAAGTCTTATGCCAGAAAGCCAGAGCAGAAGAAAGGCAAGTGATTTTAGGGTCCTTTGGGGCTGAAAAATCCTGTGACCAGTAACCTGGCTGAGTTCTGGTCAGCAGAGAAGGAAGATACAGGTAGAAGGAAATGAAACAGTGCCATTGAAATCAGTTCACATTGCCAGGAAAGCCATAGGCTTCTTTCTCTTCACTCTCTTTGGCCCACAACTGCAGTTTCTATTCTCTGAACTTTTTCACATCTTTGCATCTGAGTCCCCCACAAGACCCGATTTGTAATTGATCTTCTTTTTCATGTTACTTTACTTAAATAGTGTAAGGATTAAGGTTTTTCTGCCCACCGCCTGGTCTTGTCCCGCCACCGCGCCAGCCCCAAATAACACACAGAGACTATTTGATATTATGCTGTTGGCCAGTTACTAGTTTCTTATCAGCTAGCTCTGTCTTAAGTATTAACCCATTTCTATGTATTTCCACGTGGTCTTACCGAGAGCGGAGGAACGGCGGTTCTGTTCTTTCCAGACTCTCCATCTTGACTCCTCCTTCCTACTGCTCTTTCCTCCTTATCTCCTAGTCCCTCCTATCTTCCTTTCCTATTGGCCAACAGTGCTTTATTCATTAACCAGTATGAGAAACATATATAGATAATGGCATCTCCCATCATCTCCTCTTTTCAGTCTAAATGAAAAGAAGGGCTTTAACCTTAACATAGCAAAATATATCACACTTATCAAGTAAGAATCAGGGTTAACAATATTTAGTCCATTAACATTTAGCAAGATTTGGAGAACATATTCCATCATCTATCCTATCTTTGTGTGTCTAAAGTCCTATCTGTAACTTATCTTTAAGCCTAACTAAGGAAAACTATAACCATAACTATCTGTCTTCAAATCCATCAAAGACCACAGAAGGATAATATATAAACTCTAGAAATGACAGAGACATCTAGCCTTGTCAGTCACCTGAAGTTCTTCTGTAATCTTCCATCTTCAGCCCATAGGCCATAGTGTGTCTGGCAGACTCTTCAGCAAAGCAGGAAACTTTAAACTGTCTTCTTGTGTTGGCAGTTTGTCAGTCACTTTTTTCTGTGTCTTGCATACTGTCTGACAGACTCTTCCATGAAGCAGGAACTCTGTAGCAATGTCTATCTTGAATCAGCAGTCACTTTCCTATGGGTCCTGCATGTCCAGTTTATATAGCACAAAGTCAAACAGTCCAGACAAGAGCAGTATCTTGTCCAAATTGGTAGTCTTGCCATATTGGAGGCAAACTCCATAACGTGTTTCTTTAATGTCCATCTTCCTTTCTGACGCAGGTGGTGTTGCCAGGAGCATTTATGTCTCACTGTCAAGAAAAACCCTAAACCATTTTAAATGCAATATTATGTGGGTCTTTGAAAGGTTTGAAGAATGCCTATCTATCTCAAATACATCTCTGCATATCTAGAAAACCTAACTCACCTATCTATAAGTTTTGACTATTATAGGTAACTATCTAAAATCTGTACTAAATTATTCATTACATTTTTAAATGAGCTTTATAAACACAATATCTAAACAAAAGGAGAAATATACATATCACAAAATTGACCTTAAATTGTATCAATAAATGAAAATCCATTCCAAAACAAAGTATTCATCTCTATACCATAATCCCCTTTTTACCTTTAAAAAGATATTGGTTGTGATCATTAACCAATTATTACCAACCCCATTTAAATGAAAACAAACATTTATAAACAATATTTGGGAATTTGGGCGTCGTTCTTTCCAAACTGCTTCCTGCTGGTAGGGGGCGCTGTCATGGGGATCCTAAGAAGACGCAGAAGTCCTGGCTGTAGTCTGTAAGGCTGCTTTGTCCAAGCTGTTTTGAACATTGGATCACCTGGGACACTGTTTCAGGGGGTCTAGCTTGCTCAAACCACATTAGTCTGGAAGGAATCCACAGCTTTTCATTTTCTGTGGAAACAAAAATAGAAATCCTTTTCCCCAGTAACTTGTCTTTGAACTTAAATTTTGGAGTCAAAGCATTTTTCAAATATATAAATTGGATTGATCCAGCAGTATTTGCTTTAACAGTTGCTGTTATTTCCTCAGTAGTCAAAAGATACAAAGACAATATAACACCATACAGTAACCAGATTCTCTCTGAGCTTTTATCTTTATGGGGCTTTATTATTACTCTGTTTCTTTTACTTTTTGTTTTTTTATTTTTTGAGACAGGGTTTCTCTGTGTAACTTTTATCTGTCCTGGAATTCACTCTGCATACCAGGTTTACTTTGCAAATCACAGAGATCTGCTTGAGTCTGTCTCCCGAGTGCTGGGATTAAAGGTGTGTACCACAACACCCAACTCCTCACTGTATTTTTAAAACCATTTTATTCCTTTTCTCTCCCAAGCTAACATATATTTTAGAAGACAATGTAAACCTTTAGAGGTTTTCTTAATATGAATCTGTCTTTACTGTAAATGTAAATCTTTTTCTGGCCACGAGTCCTTTATCTGGTAAACAACACTGCAAAACTGAAAGTCATAGATGTTTCTGCTGTGGTTTATCAAAGATGGTGGCAGCTATTTTACCTCCAGCACTGAGAGCTGTGGTCACTGCCTTGGTCTACGCTGCCATCCAGCCGCATGCTGCAGGCTTGGAGATGTAGTCACTGCCATTGCCAGCTCTCCTACACACCAATAAATTGTTAATAGTGCTTTTTTAAAAGCCTTGCATTTTTTTGCCGCTTATGCTGAGTCAGGAATCCTCCCTTAAAGGAGCCACGCAAATATCTGCTTGTCTCTCACAAAGCAGTCCAACTGAGAAAAATGCTGCTACCAAGAAACCTTACTTGACTCTGTTCTTTTGTTTCTAAAACCCTTTTTAAAGCTTTTGTTAAATTTTATGTATAAGTTCTTATTTGCCACGTGGGTGCCATATATAAGGAGTAAGGTTTTTCCTCCCACCACCACACCAGCCTCAAATAACACACAGAGACTCTGTATTTGATATTATTCTGTTGGCCAGGTGCTAGTTTCTTATCGGCTAGCTCTGTCTTAATTATTAACCCATTTCTATCTATTTCCATGTGGTCTTACTGGAGAGCAGGGGCCGGCAATTCTGTTCTCTCCCTTCTCTCCATCTTAACTCCTCCTTACTCCTTCCTCTTTCCTCCTTGTCTCCTAATCCCTCCTATCTTCCTTTCCTATTGGCCAACAGTGCTTTGTTCATTAACCAGTATGAGAAACATATTTATAGACTGACATTTCCCATCAAAATAGTTCAACTTAGATGTTTTTGTGTTGTTGTAAAAAAAAAAAAATCCTAGTGCACAGGAAGTAATCTAGTTCTTTTTTTTTCTTCTTTGTGAAATGAATCCTTTTAGAAAGTCCATAAAACATTATTGTCTATAGAATAACAATTCCATAGGCAATTCCCTTAAAGCTGGAAAATAGATTAAGTCCTCTTAGGACTGTGGGCTCAGCATTTCTTCATCCTGACAATTTCCAAAGATTTTATTATACCAATCTTCATTGTGTTTAATATCAGCAATAATGGATTCCATAGTAGAACCAAACTCAATAATATTGGAAACGCCACTTTGATACGGACAAGTGAAGCCAGCAGAGTGCATGGCCACCAGTGAAGCATTAGAATCAAACACTGGGGATCCAGATGACCCACCAAAAAAGGTGGTGTCATAGGTAACCACATGAGGGTTGTGAAGCATTTCATGGAAGCTTCTTTGGGTAAACATGTGGATAAAGGGCACATGGTAGCCTGCTGCCTGTCTTGCTTGAACATTTTCCTCACATTTTCTTCCTCGGTCACCTTGAGGGACCACTGTACAAGCATCAATAGATTTCCTTCCTCCATCTGGATGGCCAATGATATAAATCAACCCATTAAGTGGTGCAGGGCCTCTTCCATTATACAGTCCGGCAGGGACTTGTAGCCCATTTTCCTCCAGTTCCAGGACAGCATAGTCAAGTTCATTATTAGATATCTCAAACCAAGGTTTAACATTAAAAACATTGTCTTCTCTCAGTGGGAACTCTTCGTAATCAAAGATCACCTTTACACATTGACTAATTATGCTTGCCCACATACTTGGCTCTGTGCCTTCCCCCACGATGTCAGTTATCACATGCCGACAAGTGAAAATGTACAGTCCTTTAAAAACAAAGCAGGTGGCACAGCCCCCATTTCCATTATTATCCCACCACAGAAACCCAACTGAGTCACTGAACCGTGAAAGATGTTTGTACATTTTAACAAAAGTAGAGTTTTTTGTCAGCTTCCCAAAGTTCTCTTTGTGTATTTTGAATAAGGAAGCTTTCTTCTTTGTTTTTTCACTTTCTTCCTTGATGTATGCTGTGAGTGTTGCTTGTTGTTCTTTCAACATGGGGTATTCATTCACAATGCGCTCATCTACCTTAAGAAAGTTTCTGTTCTCTAACTCAGAATTCTGAGTGACAGACACTACCTTCAGGTTCTTTGTTTGCTCAGCCTCAACCTGAAAGAGCTTGCCACCTAACTCATCAACTGGCTGGTTGTTTTCTATGATGGTGTCCAGCTCACTAATGAGTTTCCAATGGTCACTCTCCGTGAAAAGAAACCTGCCATCCTTCCTCAAAGTATCCTTGATGGTCTCTCCTTTGAAGCCACAGACACAGAGTTTGTTGCCCTTTTTGTGAAGTTCTCCACACTTCACAATCCTTTTCCTCTTACTCCCAATTGCGTGAATGTAAAATAGTACGTAGCAGGTGGATGCTTGCTCCTGTGGTTCAAACAATCGTGTGATTTCTTTTGGCTCACTTTTACTTTGAGAGAATGTAATGTGCATATGGCTGCCTACTGGGAAACAGCAGAGGGGCATGCCAAGGTTTATGTACCCTTTGATCCCTTCTTTGCCACATACCAGCATTTCTTTGCCCTGATGATTTTTTATCTCTTCTTTCACAGCTTCAAGAGTGCTGAGTGCTGTATATAAGCTATCTGTCTCACTATGTATGAGCTCATGTTTCATGTTTTTGTTCTTCCTGTGGTTCACATCCAAGGTAAAACTAATTCTCTTTTTTGAGGGAAAAGTCTGATCTTGTTGAACTTTCTTAGATGAATGTGATCTTTGGTCCTGGGTGTTGGTTACATCTCTTGGCATTTTTTTAGAGTCTACTTTTACTTGAGAAATACTGGAATCTTCTTGATCTTCTTTGATGACCTAAAAAAAGTAAATAAATAAATGGTGGGTACTTTGTAACTGACAACTCTGGTCATATTTCCTTTTTTAGTACCAACTCACATAATTTCTGTGGGAAATTCAGGACCAACCTCAAAAGATCAATAAGTAAAATTAAACTAGAGTTCATCTTGGGATCCAAAATACTGCCTCAACTTCCTATCACATCAGTCAGAAAAGCTCCTCTTGTTACACACGATGAATTTTCTAACAAATACTAGGGCAGACACAAGTGTTATCCAAATACTCAAAGGTCTACCAGCTTCTCTCTAAGGTATTTCAAGCCATGTTTATTACTTCCAGCACAATATACATTTCATTTTATCCAAACATGAAGGTATACCGCAATAAGTTTAAGCTATTTACTTATCATTAATTTGTTTTTAAAAGGCTTATTTATTAGTGCTTTGTTGAGATAGAGTCTTGCTGTATAGTTAAGACTTCCCTGGAACTCAGTGTGTAGACCAGGTTTGCTTCAAACTCATAATTTTCATATTTTCTTAATATCATGATTCAGGCAGCATTTATCATGAAATGAATGGAAACTATTCCCTTTGTATTTTGTATTGGATTATACATTTCTTGTAAATTTTCATCATTTCCCATTTTTCTATAGAACTTTTGTTAAGAACCAGGAAAGGGGAAATAAGTGGACATAAATCAAATTCAGTAAATAGGAAAGTCTCAATGAAAACCAGAAGTGTCTGTGGCAATTATTGCTAACTATGTGCTTGACAGAACCTCAAATCACCTAGGAGATGGGCCTCTGGACACATCTGTGGGGTGTTATCTTGGTTAAATCAATTCCAGTGAGCACCAGCCTAAATCTGCTGGCAACATTTTCCTGGGTTAAATCCTGGACTGTTTAAGACAGCAAGGGGGAAGGGAGTATGCATTCACTGTTCTCTACTATTGACTGGTGATGCAACATAACTAACTCTCCCATGGTCCTACTGCTGTGACTTCCCTGACATGATAGACTGTAAGAAACTATGAGCCAAATAAACCCTTCATCTATTTAAATATTCCTGGATAAATATGGACTTTTTGTCAAATTTTTTCTTTCCCTTTTTGAGGCATTATATAGTTCACTCTGGTATCAAATTCATAATCTTCTATTCTCTGCCATTCAAATGCCAGGATAACAGCATTGTGCTATCATGCCTGGCCTGGCACGTTTGAAAGGAAAAGAGATGGCATGAGTTACTTGAGCATGCTGTTATGCAGTAGGACAGAAATAAACAGATCTCAACTTGTCATGGATTTTCTAACTATGTGGATACCTTGGTTTCTAGAATCTGGACATAAAGAAACAAGGAAATGGCTTTGACTTTGCATATCAAATGACTGATGTTTCTCAGCTGCCTGGATATAATAAAGTAACACTGTAGTGTCACAGGACAAAATTTTTTGTCATGACAGAGCCTCAGAGGAGAGGGCTCTCAATTTCTCAGCAAACTTGCCCACATCTTCATCACAGGTTCAAGAGATTCCATTCTCTTGTGTCTCCATAAACAAATTGGAACCTACCTTCCTCAATTGCCTATGAAGTTTATGGTAAGAATAAATATACAAAATACTTTGTAGGCTGTTGAGTGCCAAGAAAATACTGTTATGACTAAAGGGACCAATCATATTCAGACCTTTTAGTGCTATTAAATAATTATTAATTTTGTTTCACAGATTGTTATGATATATAACATTTGATTACTTACATAGTATTAACTTTGTTCCACAGGTTGAAATGACTTATTCCCTTTAATCTATTTTATTAATGTTTCAGATATGATCACAATGCCTTTTTATTAAACACTGCTCTGATATAGCTAAAAACTGATTACAATTCCTCATCTTCGCTGCCACTCACCAAAATAAATAAAGTGAAAGATCCTAGAGTATCACTGTCCCAATCAACAATGAGGCAAATTTTCTTGGCAGTCAATCCTATGTGACCCATGGTGGTTAAGATAGCTACTAGTATATCCCACAAGCAATATATGTAGACATACCTGAGAGAAAAAGTCATTGATTTTTGTGTTTTCCTTTGCATTGAATGGAATCTTCTGTGATCTGCGCCTCTTACAGCTCATGGTGACTTTGAGATGAAACACGTGGCTCAGCTGAAACGGTTGGGAATTTAGTTCAGTGGTAGAATGCTTGCCTACCAATTGCAAGGCTCTGGAACAATCCTCAGCTTAAAAAATAAAAAAAAAAAAAAGAAAGAAAGAAAGAAAAAGAAACAAGTGGTTCAAGTTATGGCAGTATCTGCATACAGACCAAAAGATGACCCATGTCCTATATCCCATCTTTCCCATTCAGCTCTGGCCTTGCTTGTCCCAGGATGGGAACCTTGTAAGCTTATCCACCAATAACAATCACCCAAATAACTAAAACAGAGCATCATGTGTCATGTTCTGTACCAAACACATAACAGAAATCACCCATACCAGTTAATTCCCACCACTACTATGTAAGGCAGGTTCTAAATAGATTTTGTTGAGGGAAACTATATGTGTGACAAGGGAGATGATATATCCAAACACACAGTTTGAAGTAAACAGAGAATTCATATGCACACACCCTGCAAAAGGTTTGCAGCTGAGAAACTCAAAACTGTGTTCTACATATAGTGTCATTAAACTCTGCTCTTTGTTTAAAAGAGATGGAGATGGTAAGCGCAGAAACATATGCAGGGAGAGAATGAGTAGCACCCTGAAAACAACACAGATTGGAAAGAAATATCAAAAAGAAATGCCCATGGGAGGCCCCACCCTCTGTGGAGTGGATGGGGAGTGGGATGGAGAGGAGGAGGACTGGAGGGAGAGGGAACTGGGATTGGTAAGTAAAGTAAGATTGTTTTTAATTTAAATAAAAAAATTAAAAAAAAAAAGAAATCTGGGAAGTTTATCCAAAATGACAATTAGGAACATTAGCTACTACTTTAGGCCTTATGTTTGAAGAAGTGCTATTTTCCCCTGCTGTCTCTGCAAAAAAGAAAGACTAGCTTAAACACAACACTGAACCACCAGTCTTGCTAAATATCACTAGAAGGACAAGCACCACAGAGAACAGCAAGTTCATCTGTCTTCAGTAAGTCACCATCAGAACAATCCTAGCATGTAGCAGACCATAACACTTCAGTTATAAAGATGCAGTCAAAAAGAGAGTGGAGAGGCAGTGACCTGCAAGGCCATCTTCTAAGTGCTTTCCACAAGCTGCCTCTCAGAATTATCCAAAGCTTGCATAGATGGGTATTATTATTCTCACTTCGCCCATAAAAGGGTTGAGTTCTTTCTAGAGAGGTAAAACTTCCAGTCAAAAATCACAAAACTTTTAGAGAGTTAAGCCAAAACCAAAAGGGTATGACATGGGTATTATTAGTCCCTATTGGACTAGTCTGTCCCTTTATTTTGTTTTGCTTCCCTTTTTCTATCACACAGCAAGTGGCTTGCTTGATATGGGACAGAGATTTTGGAAGAAACCTTTAAACAAGCATGCTTGGGTCTAGAGGAGGGGCATCCATACCCTAACTCTAGAGCCAGATTTTAATTCAAGTGGGCAGTGTAAAACAACAGTCTAATGCCACTCATACCTAAAAGACACCTTAGTCCTTGTAAAACTGAATCTCATAAGCTGAGATATAGATGGCTTAGAGAGAGGACATTTCTGAGTCCTGGCTATAGACAGAGGATGCTGCACTGGGAATTGAGAGAAGGACCCGCCAGTGAAGATGTGTACAGGGTGTGTGCATGTTGCAGCTGGCCTACTCCTTTGCTTTCTCCCACGTTTGCTCTGTTATAGCTTCTAGCTCCACTTGGCAGCACACTTACAGATCCTATGGTAACTTAAAAGACAAGACATTCACAAAAGTATGTATGTGAGTGAGAGAGTATGAGTGTGAGGGAGGCTAGACAAAAACAAACAGGGCTTGGAACAGAGAAATACAAAATGGGAAAAATCTCTTTCCATTTCCCCAGTGAGTCACTGTATTTGTTAAGGTCCCAAATAATATTAGGATGTAGGGTGCCATTGGGTGGCCCTTTGGATTCAATATCTAAGGGGTATTAAAGCCGAATTTGATTGCCAAAGCAAATAAATTTAGGCCCTTCAGGTCAGGTGTCAGGTGGAGAGGCTGGAGGTTTTCTAAGAGGCATCCCAAGAAGAAATGACAGTATGGAAGACAGGGAAAAGAAAATGTCACTGCAGCCTGTAGTCATAGGTATCAGCGGGATTCAGGGAGGACAAAGAGAACCAAGCCAATTAGTGGCTCATTACCACATCCAACAGGGGTCAGCGCTTGACCTGGCTATGCCAGCCTCCAGGGAGACTCAGTGCCTGGTACCAGGGCTTCCATAGAGGCAAGAAAGCAAGAGAAAAACCAAGCCATAGGGGGAGTCTCATCCACTGGAAAGGATTGGGGAACGGGGTCACAAAAGCCATAAGGGCCTAAAGGAGCTCAGTGGTTACAGGCAGCTCCAGGGAGAAACTGAAGAAGAGGACAGGAAGGGGCACACAAGCCCAGTTTGGCCAAAGGAAACTGCAGGAGTGCAACTCAACGGATTACGGGATGGGATCAGATGAAGAGGGCCAGCTGCAGCCTTAAGGGCTGTGCCTGGGGGTACCTCCACTTCCAAGAGTACTAACGGGGTGCTGGACACTCAACAGTCACTTCCTCTGCCTCAGGGAAACTTCATACCTACCAAAGGGAAAGTCTGTTGTGGGTGGACTGCAGATGAGGAATAGGGTCTCAGTGCAGCTTAGACCATGAGGGGAAATGCAGGCCCTAAGACTGTCTATCCGAATCACTACACCAAATGTAGGCATTACAGCTCGGATTGAAAGGTATCCTGGCAGCCAAGGAATACCGCAAAGTCACACAAGAGATTTTTTGGGAGAGGAAAAAAATAAAATAAAATAAAACAGGAGAATGGCTGCCTCTGCTCTATCGAGAAAGTGCAGCAAATTGAACAGAATACAGGGCTTATACAGAGCCTCTTGGGAAGGGAATGGAACTTTTCAGAGGGAAGATTGGTGGGATTTCACCTCCAGAGATTGGGCTTTTTACTCTGTAGAGTGGGGACAAGGTTCAGCAGTTAATGCAGCTAGAGTATTCTGTGGGTGGAACCTGGCAGTTACAGGGGAGAGGCTTGGCTCAAGTGGTTTACAGTTTTGGGTTGTTTTGTTTTGTTGTTGGTTGTGTTTTTCTTTAAAACAAATCTTGCTTTGTAGCCCAGGGAGACCTCAAATTGGCCATCCTCCAACTTCACCCTCCTCAGTGCTAGGAGATAAGTGAGTGCCATAGCACCAACTTAATTATGCATTTAAACTCTGTTTCCACCTAGAAAATTATCGGAAGAAAACACAAAGGTTGTCTGTAGATGGCCACCTCTGGCACTAAGTCAAGCACCAGATCATCCACCATCCTGAGGCTGCCTTCCTTTCATCCATGGTCCCACTGGGTCCACTGCTCGGGGTGAGTGTTTGGCCAGAGCTCAGGCACAACACCCCTACCCTTTCCTTGGAACATCCTGGGTCAACTCTGGCATACTGAACCCACCCCTCCACAAGGGACCATCTGGAGCCTGGCCTCACCTGACCTTTGGGATCCTTCCCTCCTTCTGCCTGAGTACTTGAGACCATCCTGAGCCTGCCTTCCTCTTATCATTGGCCCTGCAGTGGCCTCTGCTTGAGAGACCTCCACAAGAGCTAGGATCATCCACAGTTACTGACATAGAAGTCCTGACCCACCTACACCAACTGAGAGATCAGGGGGGAGAGAGAGAGATTCTACCTACACCCACTGGAAGAAGCAATGGGAAGACAACAAAACAAGAAAACACCCAACAATAGAAAGACCAGTATGACACCACCAGAATCTAGGGACTCTATACCAATCAGACCTGAACACACCAAAGCAGATGAAGCAGAAGAGAATGACCTAACAAATAACTTCAAGAAAATGATAGAGGCCCTCGAAGATGACATGAGAAAATCCCTTCAAGAAAAAGAAGAAAAAACAAACAGAAAATTGGAAGAAATAGAAGGTAAGACCAAGACAAAAAAAAAAGAAGCAAGACATAAACAAATCTCTTAAAGAAAGTAAGGAAAGCCAAGAAAAAAAAAAAAAATCAAGCAGACGAAGGAAACAGTTCAAGACCTGAAAACTGAAACAGAAACAATAACAAAAACAAACTGAGGGAATGCTGGAAACAGAAAGACTGGGGTGACAATTGGGAACTACAGACGCAACCATAACCAACAGAATATAAAAGATCAAAGAGAGAATCTCAGGTGCTGAAGATAAACTAGAGAAAATAGATTCATTGACCAAAGAAAAACTTAAGTCCAACAAATCCATAAAACAAAACATCCAGGAAATGTGGGACATTGTGAAAAGGCCAAACTTAAGAATAATAGGCATAGAAGAAGGCAAAGAAGCCCAGCTCAAAGGTGCAGAAAAGATAATTAACAAAATCATTCAAGAAAACTTTTCCAATCTGAAGAACATCACTTTGAAAGTACAAGAAGCATACAGAACACCAAATAGACCTGACCCCCCCCAAAAAAATTCCCTTGCCACATAATAATCAAATCACCTAACAAAGAAAATAAAGACAGAATATTAAGAGCAACAAAAGAGAAAGGCTAGGTAACATATAAAGGCAGACTTATCAAAATTACACCTGACTTCTCCATGGAAACTCTGAAATCCAGAAGGTCCTGGATAGATGTTCTACAAGTACTAAGAAACCACAGATGCCAGCCCAGGCTACTATACCCAGCAAAAACTCTCAATCACTATAAATAGGAAAAAAAAAAAAACCATATTCCATGACAAAACCAGGTTTTCACAATACATATCGGAGAATCCAGCCATACAAAAGTTCTGAAAGGAAAACTCCAACCCAAGGAAGTTAACTACACTCACAAAGACAAAAGAAAAAGCAGGGCAAATATACTCACAATACCACTACAAACCACAAAACTAAAACAAACAAGAATTAACAATCAATGGTCTTTACTTTCCCTCAATATTAATGATTTTAATTCATCTATAAAAAGACACAGGCTAATAGAATGGATACGAAGACATAACTCATCCTTCTGCCACATACAAGAAAGACATCTAAGCTTCAAAGACAGATACTACCTCAGAGTAA